TTATTAGTTTAAAATTATATTGTGAGCCCTTTACAAGCGTGACACGGAGTATACTATATACTCTGAGCCCGTCTCAAGCGAGTCGCGATTAGTTAATAAGAAAGCAATCTGGCATTATCTCTTGCTTATACCACAACTAGTGAATATTTGTCTATCCAAGATACACCTAAAAGAATCAAATTCCTAAATAAACACAACGTAAATAAGGTCCTACCGAACATTAACCATCACAATAATATTTCATACGGCTATTTATTGCCATTAGAAAGATCCTAAAGCAAGATCAATAAATTATCTTGGTCACATAATGATGTTACATGATTTATTCGTATAACGGGGCAAAAATATATATCATTTTATATAATTATATATGCAAAAAAATGGGGGGTGAAGTTACAATAGGTTCTAGTGACGTTGCAGAGCTTCCTGACGCCCCTTTTTATACAAAAATGTACACCAAAAGAACCTCACCAATTAGTTAGAGTTTATACACTATAATTCATGTAAAAACCATAAACAAATTAAACCTCTAAAACATAGATTAAGTTTTTATTAGCTTATGTAACCGATTTTGATAATTTTTGTTTTACTGGTACGTCAGCTGTTGATACATCCACTGTCATACACAGATCTTATGGTGCGCGTCACGCTGAGGCAAAAAGTAAATTTGTATCAGTATCAGTTAATAAGTGCCAAATTGTACGATTAGCTGCAATTAAGGCAGTGGTGCATGATCGGTCTCTCTTAGTATTTTCTGTGTACATGTATGTAGACAAATTAAGTCAAAACTTTTTGGAATTTACTAAAAATCTTAGTAAATCAGTGCCGTTGTCTGCAGCTGCTTGGTCATTTAAAAGCCATCTTTGTGCATCGTTTGTCATAGAAATGTTAGGATTCAGCATATGATTGAAGATGTATGATTGTGTAAATATTCAGTTTTTAGTCATCATGACGGAGACTTTTACATAAATATATCAGTGAATCTCACGTTAGCGCAGGCTGGTTCGATCATTGTTGTCACAGAGGCAACCTGGCCAACGATGTTCAGAAAGTTTTATAAATTATTTATCATCTCGGTTTAATTCAACCACAGACTGCAAAAGTCTCAAATATTAAAATTAGATAATATGTGATCAAAGAAACTGACGCTACAAAAGCGCCTAAAAGCAGTAGAATTTCCAACTGAGTTTAGTAATTATTGTGGTTTGTTTGACTCTGGTCAAGGATCGTAGAGTTTAAATTGATTGATTGTATTAAAATATTATTTTTTTTTCTGAAGCTGCAGATTATGACAACGATAGATCAAGATGTAGCAAAAAGCGTGTAGTGGGTTGGAACAAAAATATCTATCACCGTTATAAAGAGGACCGTGTTCATTTTCAAAAACGAAACGAAGTAGATTAAACGAAGTATTCGAGGCACATAATGATTTTATTTTTCTTTTTATTTTTACTTTTTATTTATTTACTTTTAATACCTTTGTCTTTTGTTTTTAAATTTATAGGTTAAGAATGTTTAATGATATCAAAGCATTTAGCGTACATATATTTATGGCGGACAGTGTGTAGAAGTTGCCATTATTAAGATTATTTTACTGTTTGCATAGAACAGTACCAAATAAAATAAAATAAAAAATACAACTGATTGTTTTATAATCAACCAATTAGTGACCCTATTTTCAACGGACTGAAGGAGGAGGTTCTCAATTCGACTGTATTTTTTTTTTGTTAGATTGATGATTCTTTTTTATTTAAAAACAAGTTATATTAATAGCTCCGGGAGTTATATTAATAGCTTAGGGAACTCCTGAAAATCAATTATAAAATGAATACAGAGCGAGATATTTGATGTCGGTTTTGTTTTTCGTTAAATTATATGAAGCATGATTTATTACATAATATTGTACTAGGTATGGTTTAATGTTTACTGAGTATAATTGTTATAATATTAAGCACGTGTTGCCAGTGGAATGTAACAAACTTTTGGTTTCTTATACTATAGAAGCTAACTAAGTAAATATCATGCTACATTCTAATGAAAAGATATGATTATATGATTATATTATAATTTATTTTGGAGTGTGCATAATGAATGACTAAGTGACCGGATAGTTTTTAAAAGAACTAGTAGTCTTGACTTGGTCCGTTAAACGTCTAGGGAGCATAGTTGGGACAATGATAATTTTCAGAAGAAAGTAAGTGCGGTAATTCAGAATCGTAATTCGTTATTGTCATTTAGCAGACGTTATGCACGTGTGAGTTTAATTGGAGAAAGTATGTTGTGTGTTTATATCTCTATGATTATTAAGTAAACAGACTTTTGGATTGGTAATGTTTTATGAAAGAGCAATAATCAAGGTTGATGCAACATTTGTCGTTCATTGACGGGATGTTCTGTAGTTTTGTAGTAAATAATTTCGATAAAAATACTATAAATTTCTTTAATATAAATATCTGGTAGTTCATTCATAGTTTTAATACTAGGGTAACGTTTTTGTTTACGTTTCAGATGAATCTATTTTGTTGCTTTACCCAAACATCAGAATGTTTATTTATTCGATTACAAAGGTAATATTGCATGTTAAAGAAGTGTCTAAATTGAAAACTACGCTAAAGAGAATATCTTTCATATATTTGTTTTGTCTACACGTAGAATGCAGTTTTAGAGCAAAGTATTTCAATGGCAAGTTAAAAAATGTTTATGTTCCAGAAATATATCTATGATGACGTGTAAACATGGATGAGTATTATAACCTGGTATGCCATTTGATTCTAAATCGAGAGAAATGTTTACGACACAAGCAGGTCAATAAATTTGTCTTGAATTGCAAGATGTCTAATATGTAATAACTGCAAAGGTCGTAAAACATATAAATACTTATATCAATTTTAAGACGGAAATTAAAAAAATATCAATTTTAAGAGAGAAAAATGCTTATCAGAACACTCTTAACAACGTTTTATTAATTTATGCAATTTATTCGCAAAGAAGCAAAAGACAATTGCTTAAAAGCAATTGCATAATATAAAAATATATTTTGTTATTCAATACAAACATTAAAATGTTAACTTATATAGCTTGTGCCCGGCGCGCTTCGCTTAACTTAGAAAAATATACCATTTTTAATATGTATAAGGAAAACAAATTTTTGGTTTATGATTTACTCTAAGGTATACAATATTTTTGTATTTGCCATCTTGAGCAAAAACAAATAAAATTGTAGGTTTGCCAACACGGAATATATAATAGACTTTTATTATACATAGCAAGATTAAAATAAATTGGATCTATGTTTCGAAATTTAATTAATTTAATTAAACGTCACTAACGTAATCTATCAGTTACCAGTAACCATATTAGTTGTTGGTACCCTACATGGAATTATGTAAACGAAACTTGCGTTTACACGCAAATTATTTCGGCTATTATCTTAAACAAATAATTTGTCAGTCTGTCCCGTGACCATGAACGCTGTAAAGGGTTCGAAACGTCGGGAATTAAAATAAACGCGATAAATCCGTAAAATTAGTTTCTTTTATAATGTGTAGTCGCGTAAATACAAGAAATTATCAAATAATTTGTTTTCTAACTGCCAGATATTGTGTTATTCGTAGGTTGAAATATTTTATTAGATCGGTTAATAATTTCATAAATATATGAAAGTCACTTTGAAAAAAGTGCATGATTACTAAATAATCAGTCAGTAGAACAATAATGTTGTTTTGATTAACACGTACGTGAAAGGCAAAGGCTATCACTGTTGATATTTTCGGATGGAAAAAAAGAGATTGTTCTTAAAAACAACATGTTTTCGTAAAGCTTAGTAACGTATTTTTGTAGGAAGGTTAATGAGAGAGAATAATCGAGCAAAACCTTAATTAATAATGGGCCTAGGGTTGTTCTAAAAATTCTGACGCTTTCGATAGAAACTTAAAAGACAATTTTTGTTTGGGTTGCTATAAACGATAAACGCTGACAATGAGCCATATGCCATGATTATTCAAATTATTTTAAAGATCTCTCTCATGTGCGAAAATTACAACAACGACTTCCTCGTATTTCAACCTTCAAGGTGTATAAAAAATGCCACTAGATTTAAAGCCATTGCAATCTAAATTTATTTTTAAATTACACTAATAACCCCAGGAATTCGTAATGGTCTAAGCTCCGAATCTAAAACGACCTTCACCGAGCTGATAATAAAATAAAATTTATTTTGTAATAAATTTAGTATGTTAGAAAATATATTAAAACTGGGTTGCCTAAAAAAATACTGGACAGAATATTTTTAATAAATTTTTAAAAAAAAATGATTTTTATGAAATGTTTCAATATCAATATAATAAGAAAACATTATCCTGGATTGCAATATAAAACATATAGAATGTGCAGCCGTTGGTTTGTCCATTATTTACCTGGACGTACTACTGGGTTGTCAAGTGTAAACAGGTATGTCGGTATCAGTTAAGTTCACTGATTGGATAATAGAAAATATTTTATATTTTTGTATTATATTGCAAGTACTAGTTAGTAATTCAAATAAAATAAATTTGAAATTAAAATATTATGTATGCAGGGTGAGGACGAGAATTGTTTGTGGCAACAGGTGTTTCACCTTAAAGCAATCATCGGTGACGATTTTCATCTTAAAGACATGATGAATTTTTGTTACATCACTACATAGTATAAAATAAAAACCTCCCACTGTCTGTGTGTTCCTATGTATGCTTAGATATTTAAAACTACGCAACGGATCTTGATGCGGTTTTTTTTACTAGATAGAGTGATTCAAGAGGAAGGTTTATTTGTATAATACATTGGATCCGTGCGAAGCCGGAGTGGGTCGCTAGTTGCTAATAATTTAGGGAATGGATTAATGATTATCTCAGGAACTAAACGAAATACAAAATGTTATGTATAAATAACTGTAATAACTGCTATTGTGGGAGATCGTTGTATTTTCTGGTTGGGGGGTTGGGGTATTTGTTAGTTTGGGTTACATGTACTCGATCCCACGTTCCCCGGCGGTGAAGACACTGGCTCAGCCTGCTGGGTTACTGAGCATGCAAGGTATAATGTATGCAAAGTGATAACTAAGTTACCAATGAAATACTTTCTTTCTAGTTATTTACCAGTAGTTGTCAATGATTGATGAAATCGTATCGTTATCATAAATTAAAGTTTACACTATTAAAAACGACATGTTCCCTGCCACGATGTCGGGGCCATGAGGTCTGATCCCTATGCTCGCAGCTGTGCTTGTTCGATGTCTTAGATGACAGAAAAGTCTAAAATCCGTTTTGAACAAATGGTTCTAACTAATAATGTTTGTAACCGCAACTATTTGGGACAATATATAATAATTATTAGTCAATACACTTTATTATTTCGTTTAAACTAATTTCTGCTTAAAGTACGGAAAAGCAAGGCAGATCGAAAAAACGGTATCATAAAAAATTAATGATTCTCGATTAAATAATGTTAATAATACACATCAGATAACGTCAAGTGATCAAACCACTACATTAGTAAACAAAAAAAAAACAGACGGTAATGAGATTAAGGTGAAAGGTGAGCTGATAAACCGAGAGAAATTAAATCAAAACAGATTGTTACCGAGGAAACTACGCCTTTAAGAGCTTGATAAGAATACTTTTTTACTATAAAAGGTGCCGTTACAGGTAAGATCGGCACAGTTTTCTTCTTCACTGGGTACAATGAAGACACTGTTGGTACTGGCAAGCTTGCTAGCCCTGACGTTGTCAGGAGCTGTCCCCAGTCAAACCTACGATTACAAAGTTAAAGCTGGTGAGAAAAATAGTTTATTTTCTTCTTATTTTTCTTTTATTATATTAAAAATTATTCAAACATTTTTATATTTATATATATACTACCTGACCCGGCAAACGTTGTTTTGCCATATAAATTGTTTGTAGGGTAGAAAAAATGTTTGGGGTGGACCACCCTTAACATTTAGGGGGATGAAAAATAGATGTTGTCCGATTCTCCACCCTGGAGACATAAAATTTCACGAAAATCGGTCGAGCCGTTTAGTTCAATTACAAACACCGTGACACGAGAATTTTATATATTAGATGTATGGTGTACGGGCGCTTTGCTGTAGCTGGTCATAATGCAGCTGTTTCTGCTCTTACGTGAATGGGTACCAGCAGAAGGAGCTGCCTGTTGCCCATATTGTGAATGTCCATATTATTGTTACAGTGCATAGCAAAGGCGAACAATGTGCTTGTTATCCAAATTTACGAATTTGGCTAACAAGCACATTGTTCCTATACAGCTTATAGCTTAAAAGTCTTTTGAGTTAGATATTTCCGATTAGTGAGTACTTTTATAATACATTGTAGATTTTATGCTGTATTAATTTAAAGTAGAATTTTGCGTGTTAATCTTATGAACAGCTACATTTGAGAAACGCGTATCGAAAGTGAAGGATGGAATGATCTATGTGTGTGTGATTTGAGGGATACCAGATGTATGAAATTCATTTTATCTGATGTTAAGTGATACTCGCCTCCCATTAACATTTGCAGCACCCGTAGGGCTGCAGATGCGTTGCCACCTTTTAATAAACTGGACCACGTCTACTTCACTTATCCGAAGAAACGCAGAAGGATAACATTTTCACTTCTTCATCTGGTCTTCTGTGAGATCGTGGTACTTATCCGGACGGACCTGTCTATTCGTGCAACAAAGAAGATCTTTGCGTGAATCTACCACAGTGGACTCTATATAATAATATATGATGTTAATAGTGTAGACAACTTAACTAAAGCACACAAGGTATACGTACAGAATATTATGAAACGTACATTGTAACGTATCTCTCTTTGTCTCTTTGTCGCTATTTAACCATAAAATGGCCGAACCAATTTCAATGAAAGCTGCTGTATCAAAATGTAAACTATATGTCACTCTTGTTTTGGATACAATCTAATGGTCTTCACTTCTGCAGTTTCTAGTAATTTTTATCCAATCATTATTCCACATCTGGAAAAACATCTCTTTGTCGCTATTTAACCACAAAATGGCTGAACCAATTTCAATGAAAGCTGCTGTATCAAAATGTAAACTATATGTCACTCTTGTTTTGGATACAATCTAATGGTCTTCACTTCTGCAGTTTCTAGTAATTTTTATCCAATCATTATTCCACATCTGGAAAAACAACCTTAATCAATACTTGAAAATGATTACAAAAACACAATAAAATAGACTTCCCAATCTCTTGGGTAAATTACCCTTTAATTAGTGATCTGATACTTTTTCTGTTTTTTACATGTATTTCCTTGTGTGCAATAAAGTATATTCAATTCTATTATATTTTATAAAATGTTTATACAGCTTTAAATAAAATTTAACTGTGTAAATTTTATTCGTGTCAACACAGTCGACGCTGAATTCGTAGCAAAACAAAAGAAAGTACTGTCACTCTTCTTAACTCCGAATCAAATTGATACAAATGCCGAATACTACAAGATTGGAAAAGAGTACAATATTGAGGCGAACTTAGAAAATTACACTGTAAGTAAAATAAAAATAAAATATATTATGTGGGAAATTATTGTTAGATTACTCAATGTTCACTCAAAGTTTTCTTGTTTTTTCAGAATAAAAAAGCTGTAGAAGATTTCTTGGCGTTGTATAAATATGGTTTTCTGCCCAAAAATCACGTCTTCTCCATTTTCTATGACAAGCAGAAGGATGAAGCTATTGCCCTATTCCACCTTTTCTATTACGCCAAAGACTTCGAAACCTTCTGGAAAACTGCTGCTTATGCACGTGTGTACATGAACGCAGGTCAATTCCTGTATGCGTACTACATTGCTGTGATCCATCGCACTGACACTGTTGGAATTGTTCTTCCCGCTCCCTATGAATTATATCCTGAATTCTTCCTCAATACCGATGTCATCGACAGAGTTTGGCGTACCAAAATGCAAGGAGGAATTATTAACCCCGCCTTTGCTTCTGAGTTCGGCATTGTAAAAGAAAACGACCATTTCGTATACTACAGCAACTACTCAAACTACTGGACATACGGCGATCAGGAATATAAATTATCATACTTTACAGAAGATATCGGTTTAAACTCTTACTACTACTACTTCCACTCATACTTCCCATTCTGGTTGAAAGGCGATGTCTTCCCAGTGTGGAAAGATCGACGCGGTGAAGTATACTTCTACTTCTACAAACAGCTCATTGCCCGTTACTATCTGGAGCGTCTCAGCAACGGCCTGGGTGAAATTCCCGATTTCTCATGGACCAAACCTATCAAAACTGGCTACAAGCCATTCCTATCTTATTACTACCCCTTCATTCAAAGGTCTGACGACTACCAAATTCCCTATGAAAACAATGTTCAAGAACTGCAGTTCCTCGACACTTACGAGAAAACGTTCTTGCAATACCTCCAGAGAGGCCACTTCAAAGCTGTAAGTATTTTAGTCCTCAGATCATATTATATTACAAATTGACATAATAACATTTATTAATTATAATATGTTTCCTTATTTTTAGTACAACCAAGAAGTTGACTTTAGCAACTCTAAGTCTGTTAACTTTGTTGGCAACTTTTGGCAATCAAACGCTGATTTATACGAGAAGTTTGGGCCTAGAAACTATCACCGCTCATATGAAGTTATTGCTCGTCGTCTTTTGGGCGCTTCTCCGGAGGCAGTTGATAAGTATGTTAAAATATTAATTACAGTTAAAAATTCGATTAAACTAGAAATGGCAACATTTTTGTTAGATATGAGTATTAAACCATAAAATAACAGAGTAGCTAGGAGGCACCGCAGCTGTATAAAAGAGCTGTCGAACATAAAATTGCAAGGGTAGCTCACATCTATTAAATGTTCACTTGCCTGGTATAGATAACTTAATACTCGTTAAATCAAATAAGTTTTATATAAAAAATAATAATTCAACACTGTTCTTTTTCTAGATACACCTACGTACCTACAGCACTTGACTTCTACCAAACGTCTCTTCGTGACCCAGTTTTCTATCAGCTTTACAGCAGGATCTTGAACTATTTTGTTCAGTATAAGGAATACGTTGCACCATACACTCAAGACGTACTGAACTACGTCGGTGTCAAAGTTACCGATGTGAAAGTTGACAAGCTTGTCACTTATTTCGACTTTTATGACTTCAATGTAACAAACAGCGTATATTTATCATCTGAAGAACTGACAACTAATAAGTTCGCGCCAACCATAGTGCGTCAGCCACGCCTGAATCACAAACCGTTCACTGTAACTGTCAACGTTAAGTCCGATGTTGAGGGTGACGCAGTTTTCAAGATCTTCATGGGACCCAAATATAACGGTGAAGGTTACCCCATTAGCCTAGAAGACAATTGGATGAACTTTGTTGAGCTTGACTGGTTTGTTCACAAGTTATCGACCGGACAAAACCAGATTGAGCGAAGCTCTACTGACTTCTTATTCTACAAACAAGATTCAGTTCCTACTGCTGAAATCTTCAAGCTACTTGAACAGGGAAAAGTTCCCGCTCACATGTCTGCTGAAGCTGACTTCATGCCTTCTAGACTAATGTTACCTAAGGGAACAAAGGGTGGCTTCCCATATCAGTTCTTTGTTGTAGTGTATCCTTACCACAGTGTAGAAAACGTGGCAGAACCCATTGCAAACTTCATTGTTGATAACAAGCCCTTCGGTTATCCATTCGACCGCCCAGTGCAAGAAGCTTACTTCATGCAACCTAACATGTACTTTAAGGATGTGTTTGTATACCACGAAGATGCGGTTTACCCGTATCAGTACTCTTATCCCTACTATGTAGGTTACAAGGCTCCCTTCAATAAATTCTAAAAGGAGAGAGAAGAAACTTAGCTCAGTATCGATGCTAACTTGTATAATTGTGAACATGAAATAAAAATTGATGTCGTATAAAACAACACATTTTATTTGTTGCTCCAATGCCCACTCTCTGCTACATAATAATAAACATCACACAAAATATACTAAAATACTGCTTTGTATTTATTATAAGTTAAAAAGCTACAAATATTTAGTACCGTGTTGCAAATGTTATGTGTCACATGAAATCAAAATTATTTTGTAAGTCCAATTCTCTTTACATTCCATATAAATCACACTTAAAACACATCAAATAAAACAACAAGATTTGTTTTTCTAGAAATCATTAAATAAATCGCGTTTGTCTTGTCACTGATTTTCATATGACCATCATCTGATTAAACTTAGACACCTATCATAAAGTGAGACGCGCTTTTTCTGATACCTGACCACAGAAAAAGAATTTTTAATCTATGCACAACTTCTTTTAATGATCACATATAGTTGAGGACTTTACAGTAAAAATATTAAACGTCATTATTTCATCTTCTCATTAGTATAAGACATATTGATACATAGAAATTCTTTATAATGAGTGACAACAAAATCTCCATTACATTTGAAACAAGTTTATTGCTTATAAGATTTAAAGTAGTAGATTTCAACAGATTTTCTTAATTTATAGGATATCATCATCAGCCGCAAGACGTGCACTGTTAAACATAGACCTCCCCCTTAGAACGCCACGAACGAACGGCACTGTGCCATTTGCATCCACCGATTTCCCGCGATGATACTGTCGTAGTTCTCGACTACTATGTCTTCCTTGGACAAACAGTCCAGTTAGGCAGGTTCAACTTCGATAATAAGTCTCTCGAGAAATCTAACTCGGATGGGTAGCGTTCGGGAAACTACGCAATATTTTTTCATCCAAGATTCCGCAGCGTCTGAAGACAAGGGTGTATAACCAGTGCGTGTACGAGTAGCCAGTGATGACGTGTGGCATTGAGACGTGGTCTCTAAAAGATGGCCATTTGGAGAAGCTCAGAGTCACACAACGAGCTATGGAGAGAGCCATGCTCGGAGTTTCTTTACGTGAAAAAAATTATAAGATATGACATTGGTCGATTGTTTTGTAATTATTGCCTAATCTCTAGACAAATTTATTTTGTTAAAAGGGATTACCTAATAATTTTCACCAAAGAAATGAAAATGCTTAAGTTGTTGTCCATTATATTTATTGGTTCACTGTATATGCTTAGAAAAGTAAACATTTTCAACTAATGACTCCTTGTGAAATATGGTGATGTTAAAAAATCTGTAGTTATTTGCAATCGGATGAAAATTAGTAGCTTCTCTGTGAAATGGAAAGCCGAGTGGTTTTTTATCGAATTCTTCCGAAAGAGATTTTTGATAGTTAATATAAAAGTCATTCGGCATATTCGTTTGCAATGAACTTTCTGCAGGTGTGACTATTAAGAAAAGTGTCAAATTTAGACCACTTTCCAAGCCTCTTGGTATAAGCAAACTCATGGGGAATTTAAATAAATTGTATCTATTCGGAGCACTTGTTTTTTCTTCCATGTTATAGAAATTTTCAAACGAAAATTTAGATGTACGTTTGGATGGAGACCACGTTAAACTATTTAATCCACTTTCCAGTTGATGAATAAAAGAGTCAAGTTCAAAAAAGTTAGAGAATAAAACCCAACAGTTTTCAAAATTGCACGCCGGACCTAAAAATAATCTTACAACAACTTTTTGTGCGCTTTTTGATTCCATAGCAAAACTAATTTCAAAATTTACGTGACTTAGTCTCTTAAGTCTAGCTGTAATTGCATATGGAAAATTCATGGGGTCTCTCTTTTTTAAACCTTTATTTAAGATAAATTGATAATGTGAAAAGAACGTTGTTATTTTGGGTATTTTTGCATCAATTATTTTAACATCTCCATATTCATACTTTGACATGTCATATGGTTCCAGGGTTCGTTCAAATTCGTTGAAATAATTTAATAGATTCTGAATCAAGTACCAATAAATAGGGTCACGTAGAGAGGTTTCGGGATGGTGCAGTAGTGATGGTGCTGGATTATACCTAAAGACATAAAAAAGTGATTAACGACGGTCTTAAGAATGTTTTACTCTTCTATTTTTTATGCAACTGAGGATAAAACTTCTTTAAGATGATTCTTAATATAGAGATCATAGAATAGAGCCTTGATAGTTTAATGTCTGGGCGCTCGCCTTTAATTCAATATACTCGAGCAACCTGAGTTCGATCCCCGGTGCGGGCACCAATGAAATTGTTTATTTTATCTGCTGAATTATCAGGTGCTCAGCGGTGAAGGAAACATCGTAAGGAAACCAGCATATTTTCGCAATAATATTTAAAAAAATACCTAGAAGATATGTGAAGTTCGCCAATCTGCAGTGCGACAGCGTAGTGGACTATGCTTCTGTACAGAGGAGGCCTTTGCCCAGCAGTGGGACATGTATAGGCTGATACTTTACTTTTACTTTTTTACATGAAGTATAATAAATTACTCATATAATAATCAGTTGAGTTGCGGTTTTTCATATATTTTATTGAAATATCTGTACTTACGAGTTTGTTGGATAGTTATTACCACCGTAACCAAAGAATGATCTTATGAACTTTGCTGACTTAATTCCATCTAAATTTGCTCGTAATATTTTTGCCAATAGGTCAATGTAATTGTCTTCTGTCATAGATATCTTAGTACCATTATCCTAGAAAAATACTTAAGTAGAATAAAATATGAACATATAATTAATAATGATGTGTTATTTGTTTTTCTCCATACCATGAAAATGACTCTTCTGGAAATGCACTCTCTTATTGCAATGTCAATAGATTTGATTCTAGCTTGCTCTTCACTCCAATCCTTTAAAGTTGAAGATCTAATCGGAAATGGAAGCCCATTGTCATAATAAAGATATGGATTATAATCGGTGAAGCATTTTTCTGCCTTGTTATGTTTTTGAAATTTTAAATATTCTCTTTCCAAATTATAACGTGCTATTAACTGTTTATGGTTATAGTAATAATACTCAGCATGTCTCGTGTTTATTTCTTCCAACTCATTGTTGGACATCCAAAAGGGATGTAATAATTGTACACCCGAATAATAACTGTTGATGCCAATGTCCTCTCTAAAATAATTAAGATCTTCATGACATCCATTACTTGCTAAATTCCACCCAGAGTAATTAGTGTTAATCGCTATAATATCACCATTTTTATAAAATTGATTAATTTGTGCTTCTTGGTCATCAAATTGTCCATTATCAATAATTATTTGCAGAGCTTTTCGAATTGTTTCACCATTTATAAAATAATTTGGTTTCACAATATAAGGTGGCTCTTGCTCAAAGCTATACGCCAATTTATTTTTGTTAGAGTAAATTATTGCAAGCTTCCAGGCATACATTAACAAGTCTTTGTTTATATTTTCTGTAGCCCATCCTAAAATTTTATGCAGCTGGTCAATATCATCTATGCTTTGCAATAGACGAAAAAGAGCTATAGCGGCATTTCTCAAATTGTCGTCATAAATGCAAAAAGTTAATCCTTTTAAAGTAAATCCATTCTCTATATATGAAATAAATTCTTTGTAATATTCATTTTCCTGAAAGATAACCTTATTATTGTTAACAATTGTCCTGTTTTATTTTTAATCACGTTTGATTCACCGAAAGATTTTCAAATCAGCGAAAAATCAGTACAAAAATAGAATTTTATTGTTAACTTTATTTTTAGAATGATTGCTTGCTGCTGTTAATATTCAACTTCAATAAAGATAATATCATTAAATAATACAAAGATTAATGAATAAGTGGCACATAATTTAAGGAATTCAGTCAAGGAAGATGTATTTAGATACTAGTGACGATCAATAACATTGATAACATTTTAATCGCCGATTATGCACGCTTTCAGCAATATATTATATCATGAGAAATCGCCGAAATTGCCGTACTAACAAATGATTGCGTCAATTGGCTACGTGCATTTAAATGTATGTAAAAAATGCTTAGGTAGCATTTTTTATGGGGAAATTATATGTACACGTAGCGTAAAAGATATAATTTTTTTGACTCCTAAATACTATGGAGATGAAGCCATAGTTAAAAGCTACTAAAGTTATAACATCACAATACGACTGACTGACACAATATATATTGAGATTCGTTGTTAAAAGACTTCCTAAAACAGGCATTCGTAGAATTATATCGTGTACGACAACGGAATTGTAATATTGTTTGTTTTTGAAAAGTTTTTATTTAAAACTTCGAAGGCTTACCTCGTCAACTATATCAGACAATCGAATTTCATCATTTTTGTTAAATTTATGAGACGAATGACTAATCCCCGGAACTATTTTCATCAAAAACTTTTCGTCGTCAAAAACAGAACCTGGAAACATTGAAACATAAAAATAATAGTACGTATTCCGTAACTGGCAAACTAGGACTTCAAGATTGTGAGATTTTGTATAAGTATCTAATACTTAATTAGGAAAACAATATAGAATTTACGACGCAATGTATATAATGATTTTTTTTTCAAGAATGCCTGCTTTTTACATCGTTACATTAAAAAATAATAAATATTCTTAATAAGGAAGTTATTTTAAAAGTAAAAAAATAAATGTCCATAAGACGATAAGAGATCACTGAGGAATTGGAACGAAGTGTTTATTACTTAATACGAAATAAAATCTAACGTACCTTCTTCGTGAGTGAACTTTTTAAATTCGTCCACAGGCAAAGCAATTGCTGTTGTTAGTAAAACTGTCCACAAAATCGTCACGATACTAAAAAGCAACAGCATCTTGCTAGTTCTCTGTTCGTGGGCTTAATATAGTGAATGGTAGTCGAGACTTATGTAGCTACTCATCTGCAACATATCTGACAGTTTCTCCTGGGCCAATTGAGGTACTGAAGTTTAATAGGCACCATGTTCTTGGTACACTTGAGATAGAAATTTCAAAAAAACGCATCTATTATATATGAAAATATTTATTTATGAGAAAACGTTTTTGGGTAAGGATAAAATATTAATTGATATGGATAATTTTAAAGTAGTTATTTTGATTCTCATTTAAATAATTTATATCACTACCGTATTAAAATTAAAAACTCATTCAGTTTGTAGCGTATCATAAGATTTATATTTTACCCTTGTTTAGCTTCTACATAGATATATGTTACATTGATGGGCAAAGAGATTTTAAAAAGAGTATTGACCTGGCTTAAATTACTCTATGTCCATTATTTGTTAACAAAGTTTATTCATGATAATGTCTTTCACAGTGTGTTATGTCACCAAATCACCATTTAAAGTTATAAATAATCATTTCATAGGTCCCAATACCAATTTTTAATCTAATTTTGTACAAGACTAAGGAATTTTAAAGCCGCCCGGAAATAAACTTCCCAAAGCTTGAATTGACATAAATTAGTTGTATCTTATTTAATATCTTTTTTGAGGCATATGTTTAAAAAAGTTTAATATTAAGCTTACTGTAGCTAGCAGTACCTGTTACTGAGGAAGCAAAATGAAATTGGTCAATTTTTCAATTGTGACCCTTGGAACATGTTTAATTTTGGTTCCGAGGTAATTGGTCGTTTACAAGCATAACAAAGCGTTGAGGTACTAGTAAGCGAGTGAGGTAAGACAGTACAGATTTATATAAAAACAAAGATAGAAATAAAATAACGCTTTTTGGTAATATTATAATTTATAGAATACTTTCAGACATAGTATATATACAATGCGTTATAAATATTAGCATAAAATTGTTCACATAATGTATAGTTCCATGAGAATTATTGTGTAAATAATTTAATTGAACAGATTCTTAAATGAATATCACAATGAATATTTAAGTTATTCCACTAACGCCTATCTATAAGATAGATTAATGTTTAAGGTTTTAATTATGTACTAAACAACCATGCTAATACCGCATCAGTTTTGTACTTATAACGAAGTTGCAACTTCTTAAAATAAACGATGTAAACATAATCTAGATATTATTTTTCTATCTAATAAATATGATGTTTAGTCGCCAGTCATCATCTCCATGAATTCTGTAACACCACAAAATAAAGAAATGAACTTCAAAATAATAAAAGCAAAAAAGATCAATAATTACATTTTGCTATGTATGAAAGTTATGTAATCTGCAAAGATCATTGCGTGTGCAGCATTCGAATTTAAAATTTACTTTAGCAATAGTCTATACCTTTTACATTCAGAAGAAATATTGTAATTACCATCAAAATCAACAGTTCCGGAACCGTCAGTGTCAATCTCAGCAATAATGCCATCTAAGTCAGCATTACTAAGTTTGTCATCTAAGGCTGCAAGGATCTCCTTGAGAGTAGAAGTAGTGATGTAACCGTTGCCTTCACGATCGTATAATCTGGAACCATGAATGGAATACGGTAAGGGATACATGTGGTATTGCTGACATTTACTTCCAATTTTACACATCATACTTTTCGTTAGCATTAAATTATTATAAATAGCTATAACATATTCTGTTTTATGTCTCATTAATCTTACCTGAAAGCTTCTTTCAGTTCTTGCTGCATGGCTTCAGCATCTTCTTCTTCTAAGAAATGGGAGGCAATATTGCAGAACCCATCAAAGTTGATTTTGCCCGAACCTAATAATTATTTTTAATTAGCTTTATGTACAGATATAAGTTATATACTTTAAAATATTGTTGTACTTATTTTGTAGCGTTATTAATTCACTGATTTAAGAACCTTAATAACTTATTTTTCTACAGTTTGCTTGAGGTAGACTTGTGTAGAGCATGCAATCATTGAAAAAGCTGCTTATTAGATACGGAAACAATTTCACTATGCCTAACGCGAAGAGTAAAAATATTAATGGATAATATATTATGTTCGAAGAGATTTCATAGCTTGCCACGTGTGCTGTTTGGTTAAGTGTTACATTTATATATGAAGTATTTTTATATTAGATAGGGTGTCCAACAATAATAAAAACTAGTATTTAGCACAATACTATGATTCGAAAATAATATTAATTTATTTAGTAACATTAAGATTACTTTCAGATTTATGGTCCTTAATTTAATACTTAGTACAATTGTTTTTTGTTTAAAATTTTAAGAAGAAAATTTTTAACAATGATTTGCCTCTAGCCGTATGCTATGTAGAGAGAAAGATAAAAGTTTATACTTTACCTTCGGGGTCATTTTCATCGATAAGGGCCTGAAGTTCAGAGTCATCAAATAGCTGGCCCATGGTATTCAAAATCGTGGAAATTTTTAGGACATCGATGTAACCCGATTTAGTGGTGTCGAACATTTGAAAAGCCTTGCGGAGCATGGCCATTTTCTGATCATCGTCAGTGTCCTGTAAAGATTTAACAATTGTAACAGAATAATTGAATTATTGGTTAAATAATCTTTCTCATATAAATAATAACAGAAAGACGTCAACCCTACTGAATTTAAAATGTAAATAAATGATTTAAATAAATTAATACGTGGTGTTAAACATCAAAAGTCCGTTTTGCATCCGTAATTTTGCGTAAAGTTTAATACTTCCGTAGCACTTTTTCACTCATACCACTTGACTTTTAATTATTTAATCACTTCATTATTACAAAGCATTTTAAATAATCCTCACCATGTTTTTGAGATGTATTAGTCACAGTAACAAGAACCGAATCTGAGTGCGAGTGTTGTTACACTGAAATTTAACTTCACGTGGAACCCATATTTATAGAGCATTTCAGTTGAACGCAGGAACTCTGGGATACGAAAATACATGAAAAACTGTATCTCTTTCTCTATCGTACAATCGCCATACGTGACGTGGCGTTGCCGTTTTCATAGATACGTCAGAAGTTGAAAATTTGCTTAATGCAGGAAGTAGTCCGTTTATTTACGGCAATTAATCGCTCACCTTGACATCATTCATGCTTTTTATTTGTTTTTAATGAGCCCACACTATTTCAGTTCAAGATTTAAACTAAAAATAGTGAAGTTTTTTAATCGGCTGCAAACTTGCAAAAACTTTTGGAACTTTTTTTATGGTATTAATAATTACGGTAATAAAATTTATTTATTAGAAAATGACGTTAATATAAAACATAATATCATTTATTATTATTTGAATATTAAAAATATAATATTTTCTATACTGAAAAAATAAAACGAAAAAAATTGTAAGAATAGGATATTTAATTAAAAAGTAAAACAATTTCAGTTTGTTGCGATACTTAATAAAAAAATATTATTTAAAAATATACATATAAAGCAGAACGCAAGCGCCATTCCAATATTCACAAACATCGTCTATTTTTACCTGATTATTCTGCACTGGAAACGTTTAATCATGTTTAAGGTGCGAACTAAAAGCGTGCGCATATTAAGCAATTGCCCGATCAAGAACAGGAAATTCCTTTGAAGTAAATGCCGATCCACAAGCATCCCAATGAAAATATTACGCGCAACTACGTCACGACTTGTTGGAAGGACAAACTCCAGTCTCCAGGTATACTAAACATGTTAAATATTTTGAGCGTCGCCGTTTCACTTTTACCACCTGCAAACATTTTCCATAGATTTATTCAGTATATATATAATTAATAGTTTTAAGTGATTTGAAAAAGGGTCACACAAAAAGCTCATAATTTTTATATAAATGTAGCATTCGACTTCAAATGTCTGGTAGATATTTTTAGAGATAACGATTTCCACAGGTAATAATAGCATTTAATAGTCTTGACTATTACATTATCACCTTGATGAATGAAGAAGGTGATGCGAAAATGTTTTTGGTATGCGTTACTAATTTGCGACCACTGGCGCGTGAAACGGGTTATACGGCGACGCCCGCGCAGATATAGAATGTCGGTGATCGACTATAATTTTTGTCTAGTGTGTAGTGAACGGAACTGTAATAGGAACATTTGCGCCATACGAAGATAACTTTAATAGGCGACAATTAATTGAATGACTCAGTATAATTAGCTTAGGACAGCTCTTATCTTCTTTGTTTTAAAGACGATGTTCACGTTCTAATTTCAAATACATGTAACTTCTAATAACACAGAGATAATTTGTGTTCGAAACGCTGGGAATTAAACTGCTCTCGTATTGACTTTTATATAATACTTTTAAATTATTACATTCAGACAAGTGGTTGCTATAAATAATTTATGATAAATAACAATGTGTATAAGTATTTCTATGTTTAAGTGAAATTTTAAATATACAAATTTTAAATAGCACTTAATGTGATTAAATCTAAAATATGTTTTTGAACACATGCACAGCGTGTTAAGAAGATTTAATTTTATTGGATCGTCTCAACAGTAGTAGGAAACATAAGACATTAGCCAATAGAGACGATATTTGGAATACCTTGGCTTCACACGTCCTAAACTATTTTTGAATTACGCTCGTGGGGATTGTGTGTTACGTGTTATTTATATCGATTCATCTCAAGTATCTGTGTAACTGTTTGTGAGCACTTTATTAATTTATCTAGAATAGAGTTTCAATATTGACACGTGGTATCTTTTGTGTTTTTTTTTTATTTGAATGTAAAACGTACATTAGTTTTATTGTATATAAATTTAAATAATCTTAAAAGATTAGTAACACATGAACATCAATATAATACGAGTAAAGAGTACTTTTGTAAATATAACTAATTGTTAATCTTAACAAATTAATTTAACTTTATTATTTTATTAATAAAGTAAAATTAATTTTTAAAAAAAGTTAAATTAGTTTAACTCTTCTGTATTATTGAAAAAATAATAAAATGTCCAATAGTTTGTTTTTTTCGTCTATTATTATGTTACAGCAATAATTCATGTCCCAATGTGCTGTAAAAGTATACACATTTAGCGTACAACAATAAAGATGAACCCCGAGTCATTTGTGTCAATGGAATAGGAATATAACTTCAATTTGGCACAGAGTCGATGGTATTCCTTGTAGGAACTACTTGTTATATCAAGCGCCAAATATAAATTGAATTTCAATTGTGGCCTTTAAGTTTTCAAATCAATCAAACTGGATATAAACTAGAGCTATAATGTTATTCTATGCTTACCATTCAGATTTATGAAATGATTTATCTTCATTTTAAATACGAAACTTAATAAAGTATTTTAAAACATTGACGATTAAACATTTATCAAAAAATGTGCACATTTTTGTTCACTTGTAATTAATTATTATTTGAATGTGTTAGGGCTACTGAAAAACTTCTGCTGTTGTCAAAAATGAGCAGGCGCATCCGGGGAAATACCTCGACCTCGCAGAAGACCTACTTTTAGTTGAAGTATTACACTTTCGCGTATCGTCTGGTAAGTGAGGCAATGGGGGCCCGCTCTTTTTAAAGCGCCTGAATGTTTTAGAGAGTCGTGAGCAGCGATATTCACTTAATATCAGGTGAATCTCCTGCCTGCTCGAAAACTTTTTACGTAAAAAATAAATAAATTTTAGAAAAAATAATGATTTCGTACGACTTAATACATTTATTTCACTTATTTGACCTGTTTTCTCGGGATATTAAATCCGAAGGCCGATTTGGACTGGAAGTCTACAAAATTATTAAACTTCTAACGATTTCTTTACATTCGTTAAAACAGATCTTGTTCATAATAAATATACGATAGATAATAAACTAGCCTAACAAATATGGGCATAAAGAATTATAACAGTTATACTTTACAAACCTTGTAATCGGCTGTAAAATGTTTCTGCTTGCATTATAGCCGTTGTCACAGTGGTGAGCGATGGTTTTTAAATTTTCCGTGATGAAAATAGGGAAAGCGTAACATCGTTGTAAAATTTTTGGATATGTTCCAAATATAATGATAGAAAATCGAACGAAACGGCTGTTTAGTTGTATTGGTTTCTTTTCTTGACATCTATATGAACGTAGCAATGCTCATTTTCCGTATCTCATTCACAACAGTTGAATGTAAATTGTAGTTAATTTAATTTCATGTTACATGTAGTAAAATATTAATATAATTATGTTTTATTTACAATGAAACACAAATAAATTATATTTTTTTTTATTTCATCAGTGTTTTACATTACTCTATAACAAAAATAAATAACAAAATTTGTGTATGATTTCGGAAAAACATATTGCTATTTTCTAGATGATATGTGAACAACGATAACCATTTCTGCCCATAAATGTAATTTGAGTTTTGGTTACAATTTGAATCAGTTTAAGCTGCAGTTTATGTTTCAATAAAAACAAATGCTTTATTTGAATAAAATTAAATACCGCGTATGCTATTTCAATATTCTCAGTTCACATAAAACTTTTTTTAAGCTAACATATTATCCTATATCTACATCTACTTGAATGTTGACATAAAATAGTGAGGTTTTTTCGAAGATAAATATAAGTTTTGATTCGGATTACACGAAAATAGGTAGCCCTAAAGTAATCAAAATAAAAATAATTAATTCTGGGTCCACATCTCAAGTTCTTTAAACATTTAAATATCGAATTTTTGTAAATTATTACGGCATACGGAGACAAAAGTAGCAACAAAAGTGGCCATCCTTCTTTATTCCCTTTATTCGTAGATTTTTTCTTCTGAACTATATTTGTTTTGAGGCTTACTAAAAATGAAATTATACACGGTTCCGTTGCGTTTTTGAGGTAGTATGTTTATCTCTGTTTCTTCTTCACGCGATATAGGTTCTTGGTTTACTTTTTCAACCTGTACCTTTTCAGTTATTATTTTATATACACTCTTGTCAATGTCATTCAATTCTTTTTTAATTTGTACTTCAATGTCTTCTTGAGATTCATTTTTTACGCTTACTGTATTATCGTCACTTGTAGAGATATTTGATATAATATTTTTTCCATTGTCCAAATCAACTCGTTTTGCTGAATAATTTTCCTTTTTGCCATATTGCCCCTTCTTTGACTTGTAGTCAAAAGGTTCTTTTCTCTTGGTAAATTCTGGACGAGCGGACAATTTTAAAAGTCTGGTTGGTTTGTCAATTTCACTACTTGACCATATATTATTGTTATCCTGTGTATCATATTCAACTTCTTTTGTTGGCTTGTTTTCAACTTTGTGAGTTATTATAACGTCTTTTACAATAGCATTTGGTAAATTAAGAAGCTGATGCATGTCAATGTTTAAATCAAAGGGAAATCCAGGATTCAATAGGGCATCCAAATTATATTCAACATTTGCAATACGTCCAGCAACTGATGGTTTTATATATGGAGAAACCAGAATGAATATTTGGAATGTTAAACCATTTTCCGAACCCTTTGGTAGAATTAACCGTAAAGGAAATCCTATTTGTTTCTCTAATGTTTCCAAAGGCAAAGCGTTTAATCCAAACCCTGCATCTTCCAAGCGTTTCTTTATTATTTCTAGTGACACTAAGTCCTTAGATAGATTCATTTCATTTGAAGTTCTTGTAATCGTGTTTTTACCTTTTTTCAAGTTAATTTCGAAAGAGTCAAGTAAGAAGAATAGATTTTTCATTTTTGCGAATTCACCGGGTAGAACTTTTGGTCCGATAAATATCTTAGCAAAACCTTTTTGTGTTATAAGGGATGAAATATTTAATTTTATTGAAAACGGCTTGTGATTTAATCTATATTGTCCAATCTTAATC